AGGATGCCTGACTCAGCACCAGAGGAATACAAGAAACTTGCCAGGCAGTGTTGTGATGCTGATCCTGACAAACGTCCGGATGCATTCACAATTTGGCCTTATGTTATCAACCTTGGGCAAGAGGTGGACGAGGGTGATTCTCAAAGCAATGCATGGCATGCCATTTATCATAACAACGTAAAACCTTTATCACGTCTCGAAAAGGAAAGTAAATACTCTAGTAAGCTCCTACCTACTGGAGATTTGCCTAAGCCGAGAAATAGCTGTGATTTGGATTCAGCTGCAGGTATGAAGACAACATGTTGATACAAATGAAGTTAATTTACAATGTTAATATTGTCCATTTCTTATAATTTAGTGACTCAAACTCTTTTTGAATAAACTTGTAATTCACGGGTTTTATTTCACGGGTGTACTTCTCTTCCAATTATGATAGGCTTCCATACATGTCAATACGGTTGAGTTAATAGGATTCTGAAATAAAGTCGTGTACGTTTACGCCTGCTCGAAATCTTCGATTGAAAATTTCTGACGCTCATGCAAGCACTGCTGCTTATCGATGGTGTCAATCCTCGAAGATTTATCATCACTATCCTTTCCAGCACTTGCCATACATGTGTGCCACAAGAACTGCTCCGTTCATATTAATATTAATATACATTTCCTAACATCTGGCCGACAGTCTGAGCAAATCAATAATAACATACGTATGCATTCATTGTTCTCGGTAAGAATTGCTCAATATCTTCCCTTTCATTCGCTTGTGGACCGCCTACAATCTTTGCTAATCTGCTGAATAAATCGGACATGGTCCATAGTAAAGTAACGGTTGCAAGACTAATATTCGCGTATTGATGCATTGCTTTCAGCATTCGGGCAACAAAGCAAGAAAATCTATACATACTGATATGGAAAAGTCACAGTCTATGTATGGCCTAACCGAAATAGGAAGAAATCTAATTATGTATGCATTCACGCAATTAAGACTTGGCGCGCAAAACCCTTTCCTGCTGTGTCCCTTCAATGTCTTTTCACTTTCGAAATTTCTGTCCAAACGTCATTCTCTTCTTCCCAAATCACAGCTCTTGGCATAGAAACGATACAGCAGTAGGGATTGTCACCTCTTCTCGTGTCATTCAGTGACTGCATTCATCTTCAATCCCACCTTCACGAACCCAAGGGCCTACACGAGCTATGGTAAGTCATAGAAAGAGTCTACCGACAGTGATTAGAGACGCAGTGGAAAGGCAAGAGTTGACGTTCTCAGGGATGTTGATATCATTGCTGTTACAAGAGGGCCGGGATTAGGTCCCTGTCTGGGCGTTGGCGTAGATGCAGCTAAGAGTCTAGCTGTGTTTTGAGGTAAGAGGGGAAACGCGAGTTTGAGAATTGGGAAAGCATGAAAAGAGTATGTGAAGTTAGGATCACTTTGAATCTTATGGGATGGTCTGATTGATGTCAGGAAGCCAATAATCGGAGTTCATCATATGGTAATCATGACAACCCGCTTCATTCATGTCCGTTACAAACTCTCATTCGTTTTTAATTTATTGTTAATTAGGAAGCTCACGCTCTAACTCCGCGTCTCTTCAACCCACTTCTCTCCTTTCCCTATCTGACTCTATTAATTTCCGGTGGCCATACTCTAATATTATTGACCTGCCGCGTGAATGCTCATACTATTCTCTCTACGACGATTGATAACTCCATTGGCGAAGCATTTGACAAAGTCACCCGTCTCCTAAACCTTCCCTGGGCGTTCTGGTGGTCATGGTACTACACTTGAACGCTATGCTTCTCTTGGCGATGCCTCTAAATATAACTTCCCAATCCCAATGACCAAAGACAAAACTCAACTTCAAAATTCAAACATGAGTTTTAGTGGATTGTGAAATATTCGATAGAGGAGGAAAAGTTGGATGTAGAAGATGAGGAGGTCAGGAGAGATCTGGCAGCTGCGTTTCAATATGCCGCTGTGGAGCATTTGATCGGAAAGCTGCGTCTGTGCATAAAGAATGTTGCAAGGGGGAGAGTTGAATGTGAGGAAATTGGTTTGTAGTGGAGGTGTTGCGAGAAATGGGTTTATCAGAAAGAGGTAAGGGAAATAGTAATTGGGAAGGACAGTAACTGGGAGGTTTTCTCAGGAGTAGGATTTACTGCATCGCAACATATTACTCCTCTCTTCCATCTTTTGATTATTTTATAATAGGTTGAACAAACTAGCGATGGAATACGATCTTGAACTATTTTTCCCGCCCCCTGAGCTTTGCACAGATAATGGAGTAATAATTGCATGGGCTGGCTGGAATTGAGAGATATCAATGTGGCCTAATCGATGATTACTTTTTGAACAAATATTGAAATGGCCGATTGATAGTTTGGGATAAGAATATGGGTCGTGTGAGCAACATGCTTGAAGAGTGAGTGACCTGTGAGAGTGACAGAGATGTAAGCAGTTGAGAAAACACGCCATGAGGAGTACGACCCTTTCGAAGATGAAAAAATTCTAGCCTTGCATATAAGTAACGATGGGCACGCTATATAGTTGATATGATTTTAAGAAATATGCGTCTATTTCACACGGAGACCTTCATGTATCATGAACAATAAATAACGCAATTATCAACAGACAATGTACATGTTATTCAATATTAACTGCGTTCTAATGTTCACATACATTAGAACTTATCGTACGAGTCGAACAAAAGTACCGTCTTATTCTCAAGTCACTTTCGAGTTCGCCGGATGGTTTTCTTAACGACTTATAAAGAAATACAAATATCCGTTAATACTGAGCTTGACAATCACCACGTCCCTGTTCTTCCTTCTTACCAAGTTTTTTCTCACCAAAGTCGTTCTTTCTCTTTTCCTCTTCGTTCCAGTCGTTGCCGTTCGATCAGTTTATCCTCAAAATGGTGGAGATTAACTTGTATATTTTGCTGGCCCAACCAATCTTTACTACTTCGATAACCTCGCCAAATTCTGGTCCTTGCTGATACAAAATTTTAAAATACTATTCTATTATTTATTGTTAAATTTTTCTACCACCTTCGTTACTCATTTTTTCCTCCCGATTTACTAATTCCATCCTGATTATGTTACTTAGTCATTGCCAAATCCTAACTCGCGCAATTGTGGTGCGATCACTCTAAATGTAAGTGAATTGGTCTATTCGTCATAATGCAAAGCATTGATTATCATTGGTCCTAATAATAAATAATACGTCATTGATTAAGCCACTGATCGGCATATTCCCATCAAGAAAATGGCGAAGGATGAACTTAAGGCTGCGGGAAGCTGTATCAGTGGTTTCTCTGGCAAAGAAACACTTTGTCATATATGCCCATTGCATGACTGGACAGCATGTAAAAACCAGCAAACCTGACACCCGTAATATACAAATTACAAGCAAATAAGGATGTCAGTGAAGTTTTAAGCAAAACAACACAGATAATCTTCACCATAGAAGTTAACCATGTTTGGTTCAAAAACACAGTTACCTATTTAAAGGACCGCCGTGAAAAATTTTCTCGCTGCCGAAGTTTATGGACTACCAAATCTTGATAGAAATGTCAACCGAATTACTCAATCACTTACACTTTGCCAGCTGAAACGAGTTATAATCGGTCTATTTGCAAGTCTAAAAAAGAAATTGCTATAATACAAAGCATTCCGCAAGTTATAGCACCAACTGTCAACGGTTTTGGAACGGCTATGAACTATATGAAAAAGCATATGAATATTTGGAAGATTTGAAGGTTGAATACAGAAGCCTAAAGACACAAGGGCACATCTTCACAGATAATTCGATTTCACTGACACTTCAACTTTCAGTACAAGAAGGGCTGAAGCAATGTAAAGACATTCATCATGAAACTAACCAAGCAGCACAGATGTTAACAGATTAGAATATTATAGATAATGTGAATTCAAATCATGTTTTCAGAGAATAGAAGATGTTTTAGCAAGTTATTACAGTACAAAAATGAAGTTTTTTTTTTGGGGTTTACCAGTTTTTTGGTTTAGTATAATTATTATGCTTCTAAGGAAGAAGAAACAAGAGACTTACTAAAGAACATCTAGTTGAGGCTAAGTTAGAGAGAAACTATTACAAGAATACCAAATTAATAGAACAAGGAATAGAGCTGATTATTGTGGCATTGATGCTATACTGTTCATTACATATTAATATACAGTTATGATTGAGCACAAAATGTTTATGTACCCATTCTGTCCATGTGACTGGAAGAATTAAAAAAAACTTACTTAAATAATAAAATCCAAACAAAAAATAAACTTCGAAAGGTAGAAATTAAAAAATGATTTTGAATAGTGAAGAAAAACAAAAAATTGTAAAACTAATACTGAAAGAAGTAGTAAGCAAAATACAAACCAATCAACATGATAAATTTTTGAAACCTCTCTGATTAGGAGGAGGAGAATATTATTATTGTTTTTTTTTGTTTTAGTTAGTTGGTGATGGAAATTTAAGTGGTGAATGAAAGTTATGGCTTGGTGAAAGAAAATCAGTGTCAAGTGAATAGTGGGGAATAATGATAAAGAGTATGAATAATGAACTAGATACTACTGTCATTTAATTCTGTCTTTGTAATAAAATTGTGCAATTTTGGCTCTTTGGTTACAAGTAGTGAAATGAGAATCAAGATTCAATGGATGTACTCAAGCAGTCGTTTATCAACAAGTCAAAAACTATAAAAAACAATCTTTTGTTGATAGTTTGCTCAATCAATGAACCTTGGTGGAAATTTTTACATTAAACTGCTTTCCTTTATATTTATGTTTCGTTTTTCCTTGGTTCAACATAAGTTGGTGGTAGTATTCATTTATTGGTTTTTATTTTCGTTCTTGGTAAATTTCATAAGTAATTTTTTCTTTTCCAGGAGAGTTTGAGTATCATTTATTTTAAAAATGTAAGGTGTAATTTTTAGGTTTCATAGTGAATCTGATATTGTTACATCTGATGAGTCAGATAAGTGAGTCACATGGTAAAATCTTCCTCCGCAGTCAAACAACCCATGATCGATACTAATTTTAGTTCAGTTTCACAAAAAGCATTAATTTAGTAATAACAGCATTTCGAAAAATCCGCAACAGCGCCACGCTACATTAGGAAACAAAAATGTCCGCGACGCACAAAATGCTATAATTAATCTATACAGTGGACTCTCCCTGAGGTCGTTGGGACCGAGGCTAATGCCTGCACTTAGAGAGAAACCTGCATTTAGGGAGAACCAGTAATATTAAATTCACGCGGATATATTTGTATACTTTATTTGCTACTATATACAACAGAACCGATGTTGCAAAAAGTGGTAAATTTCTCAAAACCGTTTACTGGAATTCTTTATCAAGAGCATTAGAGTTGAAAAACAATTCGAGATTAGTCTTCAGATATATTCAACACCACACTAAAACCAAAAATTTACTACTGATGTATAATGTTTACATCGACTATTTACTTACACCTTCACCTCTACAAAAACCAGTACATCCGTCATTACCATCATTGATATATAATCGTGAAAACAAAGAGGCGAAGCCTCTTAAGAATTTATTACTCTAGTTTGTATATAGAAATAGTGACATGTTATAAGTTCAACTTGCACTAAAACGTATTAAATTCGGCAGTTTCTTTCTTTGTTAAGACAAAGCACGACACTATCTCTAAACATCCTTTGTTTCAAATCTGATTTTCAGTAAAAATAACAACTTATCCTCAAGATCGATTATGTTAATCCATTCGTGCGCCCATCAATGAACTCAGCAAAAAAAAAAAATTATCTTTTCGACTAGCTTTCTCTATTCTTGGGCGTGATTGTTGGCAAAGAATAATATCTAGCTGTAGTAAGTGGTGGACATAGTTTAAAATCGGACAGGAAGGAATAGCTCGTTATATTCTCCCTGCACTGTAGAAACGTACAGTTGACATTCCTTATAATAATGGCTTTTGTTTCTTAAAAAGCACTATTATAGTGAGCATTAACTATAGTGAATAAAGAAAAATATCGATATATTATACAACAGTTTGTGAGTTAATATAGAAAATTGGTAACAAATTCCATTGTTGATAAACCGCGTGATTTTCAACATGTTATAAAAAATTTTGTATTGGACTTCAAAGAAATATAACCGTCTTACTAGCTAACACTAAAATGCTTGGTTTGCATCTCTAAAAAAATAAGAATATACATTTATTTCTTATTCAGACAAAGGTGCCTGCCGTAATTTATGTAATCCGCGGGAGTAACAATTACCGCTGATGCAACTATCCATGATTCCAAATTTGAAGTTCGCCTGACACAGTTTGAGTATGTGAGTAATTCAGAGTTAAGTATTCATC